GTCTTCCATAGTACCGTCCTCCCATAGAAATGTTTAGTGCGCTGTTCATGCTTTTAAGAAAGGAAAGGTCATCTGATCTTGTCTCAGAGTCAGACTATTTCTCCTTCCTTTTAACACTGGGTTTCTTCTTCTCCTTTCTTTTAATACTGGGTGCACCATAACCTAATTTTCCCTTCCTTTTAATACTGGGTTTGGTTTTAACATTGGTCAACCTAACTTAGATTTTAAAGGCATTTGAATTCAACCACTGGTTCAGCAAGAAAATTTCAAAGGTAGTCATAAACAAGACATAAGTAAATGCGCCACCGGGGACAGGTATTTCGTTCCGAACAAACTCATAGAGTAGCTGTCGCTGACGGCGCAATGCCATTACTGTGTTTCTATCCTGAAGTTAATGGATATCACATCAGTGTGGAGTTCTTCGGCAGGTCAGATGTCACACTGGTCGCATGGCACTGGCGTTACGCTTAGGTCACATTTACATCGTAATGGGGATGCAGCTTCCGGCCTGGCTTTGAAGTCGGTAGGACACTGGCTGTCGTGGTCATGGATTGGGACACCTTTTACATTTTTTTTTTCAAAATTACATAACGCCAACCCACATGTACAGTTATGCTACTCTGCACGGGTCCTGGAATGTACTGTTCGGGATCCTGTAAAGAAATAGCCCGATGGACTGCCGAACAACTGTCGGCGTGATCATTGAGTTACGGTGTATTTTTTGTCGCCGGTACCCGGGTTGATTTGAACTCCTAGTTTGAAAAATTTCGGGGGCCCAAACCGTTCTCAAAAAGAGTCCATCAGCCGAATCGGGTCGCAAAGGCCCACGCACGAAAAATATTACGTAAACTAGCCGGTGGGGTCCCTTTTGAAATTGTGACCTGAAGCATCACATCAAAGTAGACGGAACTTCCGCGGGTACGTTGTCATGAGGAACCACCGCTATAGGATTTCGTCTATATTCATCAAGAAACGTACGCGTCTTTCTATTCTCATTGTTGATTTGCCTACATTCATCAACCAATGCCTAGGTTTGTGTGTGTAGTAATATATCGTGCAACAAGAGTAGATTAGGGCTTAATAAACCGTCTCCGCATTATCAACATTGTAATAGAAATATGGTCATTTCATTCCAGAGAGATTACTCAGAGACAATTCCGAGCAATGAAATTTGACTTCCCTAGGAATAACTCAACCTCGTGCAGTTATAAAAATGCACATAAAGTGGGAGTGCCAGACTCGTGAAATGCCACATGCGCATGAGAGACTCTGTAATGGTGCCCTAGTAGCCGATGCAACTTAAAGAGATATGAATGTTTTGACAAGGGCATGTCTCGCAACAAAAAGTAATATTACCCTTGACAGAGATCTATTTTTGGACGTATTAAAGTCAAAAGTAGACATTTATATTCTCTCTTCAGTTATTCGTTGCTGCCTACAGACATTGTGGCAGAGAGCCCACCCTTTACAGAGAAGGCTCAGAAGCGAGATAACATTAAAATTCTGACAGGAAGATTTCATAAAACTGGAGGTTGATAGGCCATGACAAAATCCACGGGTGGCCAGAAACGCCGTACAGCCGGCTGCGGAAGGAATTCTTAAGAAGAAATAAACGTATGACAGATAGTTTTATAAGTGAGGATGTGTCTTCGTGTGACAGGTATGAGAAAGGCTATCTGTCGCCATTTAGGAGGGGTCATCCGATCTATTGACACCAATTTTAACTCTTTAGCATTGAAATGGGCATGGTAGTCCTTTTATACTATCAAAAGCGAACTTCCTGGTGGACTATTAATATTTACGATCGTCGACCGTGGCGTACATGTTTCATGAAGTTGATTAAACCTTTGGGTAATTTTAAGACAATTGATTTTATGAACTGATAATTGTAACACTGCACTGTGAATCAAGCAACAGTGCGCTGTGAACTATGTAACACCTTTAGTGCACTATACACCAAGTAACATCTAGCGTCAGTGCACAGTAAACCAGTCAGAATTGCCCTGATGAAGATGACAGACGGTCATCGAAACGTCGGCTCGTGAAAAATAAATGGTTGTGATCAAAGATCAAAGAACTATGCTATTAATTCGTTTACCAACCTGATGAAATTATTTATGGATAATTGTAACAGTAAATGACTTTGATACATCACCACGTAGATAACTTAAGATGATTATTGATTATAATTATTATTGTATAAAATAAAATATTGAGCCAATAGATAAACTTAATGCGGATACGCATATATTAGGTTTAAAACGAATCAAGTCCAGAAGCTGTTAGGGAGAACTTAAGTTTATGTAACAACCGGAAAAGTTTTACATTCTACCTTGTCAAATTGCCTGACGCTCGAGCAAGTCCATGAAAAAGATCCTATACTGCTACTTTGTCAAACCTTCAAAGGGCCCACTGCCGTAAAAGCGCTGGCTAAAGAAAGGAAATAAGACGTCCGTCCAACGCCTTCGAGAAATACGTAAGTCTGGACCAGATTTACACCTTATAGGCCTATTTTTATGGTGCGCCCTGAACCGGTTTTGGAACGGCCTTAAGGTCCCGGGGTGGATTGCTTGCCTTCGTGCCCTGAAAGCCAATTCGCCAGCGCACTGTTTATCATTTGGACTTAAAGTGGCGTCTTGAGCTTACAGGGGAGAATTAATTAAACATACGTTACCAGTTTTCACGTAGAGTGGTCGGCACCCATGTATCATGTACACCCTTGGGTTCACAGACCTCGGTAATCAATGGCAGCCATTCGGACCATGCGATCCATTAGACACAAAGCCACAAGGTAGGCTTAAAGAAGGGATTAGAAAGCACCGTAGGCTCACTGCATGTCTGAAGAGTAGACACAAAATGACAAAAAATGCACATCCTCTCTTTTACCCGCTGTGCCTTATGCTAAGGCCACATTTCAACATCGGGGCCCGGCCGGGCTGTTTTGATTAACGAAAAATCCACAATTTACATTAATAGTATACGCAGATACTTCCCACTATGGATTTCTTTCAACTTTGTTTTGTGTCCTCCTTTGTTGTCTTTTATATCATACCCTTTGTTCTTAATGACTTCCCGGCCGGGCCCCGGTTTGTAAATGTGACCTCAGCATTAGGAATGTATCTAAAATAACTTTGTATCATATTTCAAACTAAAGGTATAGATAAAGTCATACTCCTTGAATTGCAAATCTGTAGGACAGGAACGTCATTTTACCACAACATTTAATGCAATGCACAACATTTAATGCAATGCACGTGTGCACCATTTTGCCTTGTAATTAAGATAAAGAATACAAAGGCATTAAATTGCCCTATTTTGTAATTAATGACCCATTTGCCAAGCAAATTAGTCGAGAACATGCCACAATTTACCATGGCGCCACAATATATTTAGTGTCGACAGGTATCGCCCTCTCGGATGTATTCACGACGACAAGCTATCGTTTTATTGCGTGATACAGATTACATGCGTGATGTCAGCAGGTCGCAGGCCTCTAAAGGCTGTTGAATTTTTACCACTTGCCGCAAGCTTGAATCGTGCACGCCGAGATTGTTACCATGCTAAAAGATTCAAAAGGCTATTTGTACTTCAATCGAAAACCAGTTCCGTGGGCCTTAACCTGTTGCATTGTGCTAATGACTGTAAATCTAGTACGTTCTCGATGCATGCATAGGATACTCATTTTGGTCGTTTTTGTTATGAAAGTGCACAGAGTTATCGAACTGGTAATGAGTGATTTTAGCACAGCAAATTGATACTCAAAATGGACATTGCTCATGATGCCCTTCTCTTTATCTCGATATGGTTGAAACATCTTTAAAAACACTGAATAGTTTGATCAAACGGGATCTTTCTTGTATTTATTTAATGATGCAAAATGCGCATTTCAGTCGGGGATAGTGAAAATTAGTGTTTATGAGCCATAAAGTAGCGTTATGTGGTGGCTTCAGGTGCTCCAAGAGGTCATTGAAGATGCTTTGTGACCACATGAGAATGTTTAGGAAATGAGCTGCAAAAGAATAATGTTTTGTTTTAGCACTGGAACTAACATAGTTTACCACGCCTCCAGAAACACGAGTTCATACCGTTATCAGGATATGCTCACAGTGAACTCGAATCATAAAAGGCTCTACAAGACCGGACATTGGAAGCTATTTTGTGTTATCTACAAAGTCCTTAAAAGCAACGATACAGAGTTTAAGACTGTAACCCAAAGCATCACCACCAATAGTGGCACCATTGTCACTGACGCATTGCCGTAACAGGAAACTGCCATACCCCCTATAAACAGTTATTGAGCAGAAGGACACCGGACACAAAGACCCTGCAGACGATTTTAATTGAGCAGTGTCTTTATGATCAGACCTTGTCAGAAGAGAGCGCCAATAACGACATTGACAGCGTCTGCACATGTCTGATAACATGGTTGTAACTTTAACGACCAATGATGGCAAAAATAACATATCATATAACGATAAAGAATACGTGATTGGACTCACGTATCTTTTTATACGGTCACATGAAAAAAAAGGAATATCCTTTGAAAAATCAAACTTAATACTTTTTTCCGTTGTCCACCATCAATCTTTTAGTCATTTTCTGCAGTTAACCTGACGGGAACTTGCTGCAGGTGAAAAGAAGCCGCGGTGCAGATTTCTAATCTTCGCAAACTTAGATTATCAATGAGCCACGAATATACTCCGGGAGGCTATGATCATCCTTTTGTAGATATAGATTGTGTGATTTATACTTCTTCCAAGATTCCAAATTATGTATAGGAAATAATAATCTGATATTTGAATATAAATGATTCGTGATAAGATCTCTCTGCACAGCCAGAGCACAGACAGTATTACTACTCCCCGAGGAAAGTCCTGTCAGACAGCATCAGGGGAAGGTACCATGCTCGCAAGAGCTGGCTTCCATCGATTTTTGTAACGCACCAAATGGAAAGGGATAGGCTCTACCTGTCTCTTTTCTTGCAGGATCATTGATGTGTAATGTTGAAGAATTGGAAGACCGAGCGTGAACGGTTCGGAGGCTGACGTGAGAGAGGTCTCTACAGCCACTGCACTGCGAGCTTTCAAGATGGCTGATGCGTCGGGGACGTTCTCGTCGTTTTCCCCATGGATTCTGTGCTTTGCACTCATAGGTAAGATTTTGTTACTCTTCTAACTGTCCGGTACCTTATGCAGCAGAGAAATAGGGGAAACCAGAAGGGGGTAATTGTATAATACCATCCGATGTTATCTGTGCGTAGTATACCTCTTTAGCTTTTAACATCCTACAGAAACGGTCAGTTTATCTTTTTTTAATGTATTTTTTATTGTGAAACTTTTCAGTATTATCTAAGCATTCAGGCGTGCAAGGCAGGGAATAATCTATGTATCAAACATAACCACCTTAATCAATCCATACATATATGATAACAATAGCACCATCAAGATAAACAAGTTGCTGGAATATCTCTATCCAACAGTCATCACGTCGAAAATATAATAAATGCGCCCTGAAATCCCCACACGTCTCTGAACAAAAGACTTATCTGCTAGCAAGCGTGAATTCAGGTTCCTGAGATTTACCATGTTTTCGCTATCGTATCACCGTCTTTAGACGCATTTTCCGGGACGTGTTAGGAGTTGTTTTACAAAGGGCGAATCTTCACGCTATCTCTCCTGATTAAATTGCTGCCATGCGTCACGTCACACTACATAAGAGTGAGACGGATGAAATGGCAGCGACCTGCTTCATTTCGGGTACAAGTCTTGCTCCGGCTAATAGTCCCTTTGGGAACTGTCTGCTGAGTTATCACACCCGTGACAATGGGAGTATCAGCGAAGATAGGACTAGACAGAATAGTCCTTGTTACAGGAATCAATGGCAAAGAGACGTTAGGAGATCTTCAAAAGGGGGAGACGAATCCAATTCCGCCTCATTGAGGGCATGTCATTTGTCAACACATCATCATTACGCCTGGACACATTTTTCCGGGAAAGGTTATTAGCTGCCGGCGTAAAAGGCATTTTCCACGCCATTTCGTCACAGGGAAATAAATTCTCCGTCACATTTGGGTCAGTTGGAATATTTTGAAGGCAACTTAACATGTCGTAAGTTGCGTGAAGTGCCCATCCTTTATATGTGACCATACACTGCTTTGACACCTGTATTACCCATTAGACACGACCTTTCGACACAATAGCTCCTGAGATATAATAGATCACCATCGTTACTTGTGAACGTCAGTGGACATTGACAGGAGTTGAATAGTCTGGGTGAACTGGCGACCTGGCACAATTGTTTGCTGAACGCTATCAATATTCTAGAAGCTAGGGATATTTGAGCACTGCCATCACAAATAACCATCATGCTTCTATGCTGCGTATCTGTGATTTTTCAATTTAGGTTAATGTGGAAATCGCATTGAGATGTATAGCTCTTCAACGAGTGAGTTGAGTTGGACATTGAAGTATGAGTTTCCAAGCTACGTTGACTGTATTCATACATCCTGATCTGCTGTATTTGTAAGCAGATCAATCACTGCTACTCAATACTTGTCTGAAGATATATTGGCTCATTATAGTGAGCACTGAGTATTATTGAAGCCATCAATATTCACGGGAATAGATCACAGAGCATGACGCCAGCCAAATGACAGGCTTGGGCTTAATTGTTAAAGTACTGCTACTTTGGAAGCAATCTGTGAGCTGTTCGCGATGTTGTTTCCCAATTACGTTTGGCTGTTCTCGGACTATCTTGGGCCTCGCAGCGTGCAGAAACATTATTGCGTTTTCTCGAAGCTCAGGTGGGAGAAATCTCTCCCGAAGCCTCCTTAATTACCCCCCCATTTGTTTGGAATCTATCGGACAGACACTCCCAATCATCACAGCAATCGTGTATATGCCACTGCCAGTACCATGAAGGCCACTCAATAATACAATACCAACTATATAGTAACTATATTTTATACGTAGCTAGCCAACAAGATATAAACCTTTTTTATGATCTCCCAACGCCGCATGTTTGAACTCTTTTGAACTTGTTTATAGATTTCCACTTTGCAAATTTATTGAAATTTGTCGTTTCTTTCGTAATCACCACAAACACGCACAATTAGCACGTCATTAAACGGTCCCTTATCAACTAAAAATTCAAAGATTCCAGTGTTTTTAGGAGCAGACTCCTTCGCTCTTTAAATTCAGCACACATATTCCTATTGACTAAAGCAACAGTGATTAGGAGAATCGTATTGACTATCCGCCTTTCAGTTTAAAGCAGTCACTCTCCAGGCAGTATAGCCGTCGAGATAAAAAGGCTCATTAGCGAAGAACTGTCTCAATACCGATTTTCCGTATTTTATGGTTTTAAGGTATCACCCACATCCACTAAGCTGCTGGTGCAGACACAACTATCAGTCTACCATTAGACAGTCCCGAAATAGCCTCTAAAGAAAAAATACACACTTAAGATTCTCTAGAAAGGCTAAGGACGTTGCTGAAGCTCATTGGTTCAGCTTTTGTGAATTGCAAAATCGTAGCAATAATGGTTGTTTTACGGCAGTCGATCGGATATTCCTTTATCCTGGATTTCCGCATGAGAGTATCCCAGAGGAAGTGATGTTATCTTCAGCCATCGAGTCCAATAAAAGGTCGTTTCTCCCCATTCTGTACACCAGGCATCAGAGATAACATTTCCCTGTAATTCGCCTGTCCGATACGCCATTTAAAATCCCAGGCAGTAAAAACTGTCGACTAAATTTTCGAACTTCTTTTTTTTTATGAATGTCAGTGACGCACATAAGCCATATAGTGTTCAAGAAGGCAGCATGTAGTATCAAGAAATGTTTTCTTCATAACGTCTTATGATTCCAAGACATACTCCAAAGTTAACTTATGAGGAACGTCCTAAAACAATTCTTACTGGATGCTGGATTGCTATTTGACTATTACCATGATGCTATTTCCTTGATTGAAAATTTAATCCCCATTACAAAGCCCAATAACACAATCTCAAAACGACTTTCGCCTGGATGTTATCTCTCACATCAATTACATACAAACAATTGATTTCCATATTCATGATGTTTGATGTTCATATCTTTGTGAATAGCAATGGCGGAGTCGGCTCTTTACCGGGTGTATCCGGAATCCGCTGCCGTGTTGGTTGGACACAACGTCACCATGAACTGCGCATTCAGCGGTCTCTCTGCAAGTGACGTCGTCAACTGGCACAAGTACAATCCTTCCGAACCCGACGGCAAGCCGTTCCACGTGTCCTCGGGGAGCGTCGTGGATCCCGAATTCCCCCGATTCTCCATCGTCGGTAATAACCGTAGCGAGGAGTTTAACCTGCGGGTGACGAACGCTCAGCCGGCCGATGCCGGAAACTACCGGTGCGGGGTGTTCTCACTCACCGACACCAGGGATGCAAAGTTGACTGTCATCGGTGAGTTTTTGTTTCTTTGATAGCTTTTCATAACCTTAACACACAGATAGATGTCAGTATTTCATCACCCCGTGGCTAAATCTCAGCATATGTCAGAAGTACAGTCATTACATGGCGCCTTGTGTCACGTAGGTTCCCTTTGAAGTGCAAAGTTTGCCCAGTAAAATGACACCCTTGCCAGCCGTTTGGTAAAAGTGCTTCAGGTAGAAAGTTGTTCCTTTTTTTTAAACTTACACAGTCCAATAACGCTCCGTGCCTGTGAGACTCTGTGTTATTCCTACTGCAGGAGAATTTCCACGCCTAAAGGCCGCGCACATAAAATCAATAAAAATTGGCCCTTGTTGTAGGAAGATTAAAAGCGGCTACAGTACTTGGTGGGTTTTACTCCCCTCACAGGAAATGTTGCAATCCCAAAGCAATTTTACGACTTCCTGTTCTGCGTTGATACGTTAGCTCCCTCGTGTCGGCTGGACGTCAAGGACAAAGAAACATTGGACCACATACAAATTAGCTAGATGGATTGTCGCCAAGGTGGTTTATTCAGAATTGCAATTGGTATCACTAAGTTTGCTAGTAGTATAAGTTTGAACAGAATGTAGGAATTTAAAACTCATTTTTGTTTTATTTTCTTTAGGCAAATTAAAATATGAATTATAACAGAATCTGACCTATGACAATAAAATTATGGAAATGTTCCATTCATGGTACATCATCTGCAAAAAAACATCTAGAGTTCATTCATCAATCATCATTAAAATTAATTATTGTGTAATTTTATATATTTTAAACCAACATACGGAAATCTAATTACAAGAACACTATCTTTACATTTTGATGATACAAGAGACATTTGCATTAAGGTCATGATACCTGTTTTTATCATGACCTTATTATGAATTAGACAAGGTTTTCCAAATCTTACAAAGTTGGTCGTGACAAACTTTGAACATTGGCGCAGATACAAAGCGGCGGTCAAGTATACCTCAACTTTTTGACGCCAACTTTTGCCTTATTCGATATTTGAAATATTTGAAGTTTTCACCTCCAGTCACGTCTCATAACTTTAGGGTATTGAGCTAAAGCGATAAGTCATGATGTCCTTGAACGTAAAGATAAACCTTTCCATCATAAGCGGTAACAACGCTTAGCTTTTGATTCTTAGCGTTACTTAGAAATCCCCGAACAGTCGTAATGAAGAAATATTGGTTTACCGTGACTACTGGTGGATCAGGTGGAAGCACCTTGCCGCAATACGGCATGTCTTGAATTCCAACATAGACTTTATTGTCTTCCGCTGAGAGCAGAGGTGGATTTTACAATTGAAAAGGGGCAGCCGAGTGGGTGGTTGTGCTGAGTCAGCGGGATTGGAATATATTTGTAAGGAAATTATACATGAACCCTTTGGATGCATGTCCAGGGATAGTTGTGGCAGAATTATAAAATACAAAAGGCAATCTCTTTAGCTCTTGACGTTAAGGATAATTTTGGTACAGCCGTTTTCAGAGCACAAGTTTACAACAGTGTACTTCTCGTATATAAAACGCAGGCATTGGGGTACAAATTCCAATCACCTTCTTTATTTCACCCTACCAATAGAAGTACTATTAGCATATAGAGATTGATAGATCAAGCATATGATGACCCTGTTTAAAGTTAAAACTTTTGATCCAACACAATAAAGTTCTCACATCTAGAGCTTTCGACCAGTCACTCTGGTCTTCCTCAGTAGACTGACCCAGTGAGGCTTGTCACGTGACTTCTTTGAAGTGTGCAGTCAACACTGGGTCCGTCTATACTGAGGAAGACCAGAGTGACTGGTCGAAAGCTCTAAGTAAGAGAACTTCATTGTGTTAGATCAAAAGTTTTAACTTTAAACATGAAACAACCAACCAAGATTACCTTTCATGATAGAAGTATATAATGATCCTCATTCTACCTGAAATCTGGAACTGAAAGGCGTGATGTCTCTATGTCTCTTCCCATGTTCCATAGTCCCCCCGCCCTCTCCGCCGGTCGTGCTCGGTGACCTGTCTCCTCGCGCAGCCGGCAAAAGCCTCATTCTCTCCTGCCGCTCGGAAGGAGGCGACCCTCTGCCTGCCCTGGCCTGGTATAACGGCACACAACTGTTAGACCTCCCACGTGAAGCCATGATAGAGGAGAATGCCAGAAGGATATCCCTAGACCTGGTCATCTCGTTCCTAACCAAATGGGACAACCGAGCCAACTTCAGTTGTGAATCTGACCAGGGATTCCCTGGCATTGCCGACCCTCAAGTCACGTCAGTGACAATTCAAGTGAAGTGTAAGTACCGGTTTAACCTTCATGATGTACCATAGTCTCATAGCTGTTTGCTTCCTAGCCATAATGTGTAATCACAAAAAATAAAGAAAGGTTAAGACAAACCCCCAAATAGTCCTGCTATCAAAAGCAGCATTACTGCACCTTCAATCGAAATGATAGGGATGGAAAACCAACTTCATCTCCTATAGTCTATGGCAGCTACAAGTGGTCAATTCTAAACCTACATGTAATTCAGACCCAATTCGTGAACACGGGAATAAATCAAATCCCCTACACTACCAAAAATGCCAATCTTGTTTTTCTTCAGAGAAGAACAATTTTCTTCCACTGAGAAAATTATTCTTCACCCAAGAAAAAAATCTTGTCCATGAGACAAGAATTTCAAGAAACTGCATTTTAGCATATTTTTCTTGTGGTAAGATTTCTTTTCTTATATATCTTGAACTAAATATCCTTAGACTATTATTCTTGCAGTAAGAATTTCTAAGTTTTCTAGAAAACCATTCTGAACGAAGATCTAACTCTTCTTGTAGCAAGAAAAATATTCTCCCCACAAGAAAAGATTTCTTGAACTAAGAGCTAACTGTTCTTGTAGCAAGAAAACCATTCTGCCCACAAGAAGAGATTTCTTGAACTAAGATCTAACTCTTCTTGTAGCAAGAAAAATATTTTCCCCACAAGAAAAGATTTCTTGAACTAAGAGCTAACTGTTCTTGTAGCAAGAAAACCATTCTGCCCACAAGAAGAGATTTCTTGAACTAAGATCTAACTCTTCTTATTGCAAGAAAATCATTCTGTACACAAGAAAAGATTTCTTGAACTATTATCTAACTCTTCTTGTGGCAAGAAAACCATTCTCCTTGCAAGGAAAGATTTCTTGAACGAAGATCTAACTGTTCTTGTAGTAAGAAAACCATTCTGCCCACATGAAAAGACTTCTTGAACTAACATCTAACTGTTCTTGTGGCAAGAAAACCATTCTGTACAGAAGAAAATATTTCTTGAACTAAGAGCTAACTGTGCTTGTAGCAAGAAAACCATTCTGCCCACAAGAAGAGATTTCTTGAACGAAGAGCTAACTGTTCTTGTAGCAAGAAAACCATTCTGTACACAAGAAAAGATTTCTTGAAATAAGAGCTGACTCTGTTCTTGTAGCAAGAAAACCATTCTGCCCACAAGAAAAGAAATACAATGTATATAGTGCTACCTAAATAGAAAACGGACAATAATGTATAGCAACTAAATGTTATTTTGAAAAGCATTTGGACAGTATAGAGATTTTATTTTCACATTGATTTTTGTACAATGTATCTAATTAAAAATATCAGTCCATCAACATTCTTGGAATGGAAACAGTTTAACAGTAGCTTTCAAAATATTATAGGATGTAACTAACAAGCCATTATGATTTCAGAATACAGATCGTATCACATTCTGATCAGAAACATATTCAGCAAAAACTGAAGTTTTCGCATTATAGAATTGGCAAAGTCACACCCTTTGGACACCTGAAAACAACAGGAAAGACCTGTGTTAGTTTGCATGCGTGTACTGAAGGCAACAAGTCAAAAGAGGATGCTAAAATACTATTTTTATTACTTGGAGTAAACAATTTAAAATTATATTAGAAAGCACTGTAATAAACTTTACTATACAATACACCAGAGATATATGATTTGACTTTGAAATCAACCCCAATGGCGTTGTAACAATATCTGAGCTATGAAGTCTAAAAACAATGTCAACAGATCTTATAGGTGGGGAGGGGGGTGCACTTACCTTCAATCTGTTTGGTTTCATGCTTTTTCTGTTGCAAAGTTGGTTTCTTCAGCAAGCTGACCACGATCACTATTGCTTCACATGTACACAAGGTCCTTTTTGATTTCATTTTGACTTCAAATCTGACATGAGTCAGTAACTGACAAAAATAAGTAACCAGCGCGGCTCCCACATCTGACTTATTTTCAAAACCCCCTAACTGCATTCTGGGATTTGAATCAACCAATCAGGGGTTCAGAAAAGGTCACATGACAAGAAAAAACTAGAAAAAAAGTTCTTACATCATCTTGAACATTACCAGGCAAAATAAGAATCATCTTTCTTAAACTTTCTGGTATTTTCTTAAATGTTGCTAAGAAAAACAAGAATGGCCTTTCTTAAACTTTCTACGGAAGAAAATCAAGAATATAATACTAGCCATATCTTCAGCCTAATCAAAATCAATTCTATATCAGACTTTCTGTTTTTTTTTCTTATCATCAGTATTTGTCAAGAAAGATGAGAACTTAATTCTTGTATTTTCTTAAATGTTGCCAAGAAAAACAAGAATGATCTTTCTTAAGCTTTCTAGTCAAGAAAAACAAGAAACTTTAAGAAAGAAACACTAAGCAGAGCTTTATTCTAATAATAGATTTAGATAATTAAATTTCTTGCTTTTCCAATCAGTGTTTCCCAAGAAAGACAAGAACCAAATTCTTGTATATTCTTAAACATTGCTAAGAAAAACAAGAAAAATACAATTTTTTTGTGTATATCATTCTCAGAAAAAAAAATCTTAAATCTAACCACTTTGATGTCAGGTAAGAAAGAAATCTTCCATGGAGATTAAATAAGAAAATTTAACTTAGTCTGAGGGAAATTTAAGATTAAAAGAATTTTAATCTTGTAACTTAGAATCTTCCCTAGAAATATTGTCTTTACTTAAGAAATTTCAAGATTACAAGAATTCTAATCTTGTAAGTTAGAATCTCCTCTAGAAATATTTCTTCACCAAAGAAAAATCAAGATTTAAAGAAGCCTATTTTAGACAAATTATCTCCACTCAAGAAAAATGAGAAAATTGTTCTTGGTGCAAGAACGTAGGTATACAGAAAATTTATTTTTTTCTTATTTTTTTCTTATTATTCTCCCCCAAAGAAAAATTTTCTTCCCATGAGAAAATAAGAAAAACAAGAAAAAGCATTTTTGGTAGTGTATTCTATGTGCTGTCTCGCGTTTGCAAAGCTAGTTAGAAACCATCTACGTGATTCTACAATTATGTACATACGTACCGACGAAATACTGTGTTCCTTTAACGAAATGTAATATATGTTGGTTTACTAAAGACCCGCCGGTGAGGATTTTGTTTAGTCTAGGCACGGAATAGTTTATTCATCATATAACGATGTAAAATATAGGTCTACATGTAAAACAGACATGAAGAGTGCAAAAGTGCACTGGTACAAATATGCTCAGTACCCTTTTGGCAGTTGACGTATGTTTACTAATGGCATCATTATTAATATTCCTGGGCAAAAATTCATCAAAGACCTTGCCTCTTTCATTTGCGCGACAATTTCTTAGTCTTTCTAAAAGGGAACAAATGATATGTTTTTATTTATTGTTTTTCTGCATGACATGGCAGCTTTATTATTATTATTATTATTATTATTATTATTATTATTATTATTAGATGTGCATTGTACATGTATATAGCCTCCTTCAGTCAATATTAACCATAGTAAAATCCTAATTGATAACAGCCCTGCAGCTTTGGCTATGGCTGAACAGTCCTATACGAAAAACGGCAGTATATCTGTAGATATGTGAGTATTTTATAGTCAAATTTATTTACGTTGTAGAGTTCTTTATGCGCGATAGGTTTCTATACTAATATTCCCTGCCTAGTGTATTAAGGAGTTTATATTCCGCCACAGATCCCCCAGTCGTCAAGGTTCCGAAGATGTCAGTTGTCGTGGCTGAAGGACAGTCAGCCAACCTGAGCTGTGAAGTTGACGGCAATCCCAAAGCATCATTGACCTGGTGGAGACTCGGGGACAGCTTACCCCAGGGACCTCTAGGGAGGTAATATTGCCATTACAGTTATGAAATAGACTGGAGGTAAAAGTAGACTGGAGGTACATTCATTACATTGGCTATATGCTAGGTAAGATAATTGCTTCCAACAAACCTGACAACACGAGATTTATGAGTTGACACAAAAGTCAAATAAAGGATATAACCTATTGATTGGTACCAGTTGAGAATATCCCAAAAGCTTCTTCATATATCAAATAAAGACAGGGTGAAAGAGTCAGCAATTTCATCGCGTATAGTGTCTACCATCCCCTCTTTCTGAAATGAATTACATGCACGTTTCGTTTTGAACTTGAGATCAATATGTCTATACCGCAGAGGAAGTGTCCTTACTTTGACAAATGTGACCAGCTTCGACCTGGGCACCTACCAGTGCACAGCGCGGAATGGAGTCAAACCGGACGGTTTCGGGACCATGGCATTGGATGTCAGATGTAAGGCACTTCCTGTGATTTATCACAATACTACATGTGTGAAGGATTTCCTTATGTTTGTCCTTATTTGGATAGCAATTTCGCCTGTTTTTTGTCAGACATCACAATTTGAGGCGCTATATGCGGGGGTGTTTTCATAACTCATCGATGACAGGCTTATTTTCGTATAGATTTTGTCTCACCTTGCAAAAATAACAAGTACCCATTACGCCAAATAAGGTCATATATCGGTTGGAACAGTGCTGCCATCGAACTGGCGTTACCGCAAACCACGATAGAAATATGATGAAATATAGATATATGTTTACCTTTTTGATGCCAAGCCAGGCTGTTAGCAAAATAAAATAAAATATGGAACGATATTTGAAACATCATAAATAGAATAATAAATTTGGAGAGTGTTATTGGAATTTTGATATTATTTTACCATTGTCTAGACCCACCTCTCATCAAATCGATATTTGATGAGGAGACAACGGTCATGTATGGACAGTCCGGGTTCTCACTGAAGTGCCAAGCAGAAGGGAACCCGAAACCCCGGGTCAGGTGGAGGCGGATTGACACCAGGATGTTCTTCGACAACCCACTACTGTTTCCCGAGATACGGTATGCCAACGAAGGGGCTTATGAATGCGTCGCCAACAGTAAGGGCTTCAAAGAAGTGAGCAGAAACACATTCATCAACGTCATAGGTACTGTCAGCTCATTACAGTTTCAAAACCATATTTTCGTAGCATTCTGCAGTCACATTTAATACACTTCCATCTCCAGATAAATCCCTCACGTTTATGGATCCTTCGTAGGTTGTATATGAACCAAACTGCTCGATATTTCTTTATTTCATCATAAAACTGATGGGTAGCCCATTCAGTTTGTAGAAGCTGTTTTTCAATGAGGCCCAGCATATATATATTTGCACTGGGCAAGACATAACAACATTTAGTCAAGCAACAAAAGGTGGACAAAACCCTATGCGTCAAAACAAAAGCATGTCAATAAATCAAAGTCGTCATAACGTTCCATTATATGATGATCACATTTCGTGAATGTGACAATCTGTTTCCATCCAAGGTAGACCGGAAGTCCTGAACGTCTCTTCTACAGTTTCTGTGACGCGAGGCGAGACCGTCAGCCTTGTGTGTATCATACAAGCCGATCCGATTCCTGACGACGTCTCATGGTTATGGAGAGGGCGCAGCGGTGAGAGAGACTTCAATGATAAAACTAAAGGCGACATAGATGTTAAAACCGTCTTCAGTGATAATGTACAGAGCGAGTTGACCATATCGTCTGCAACTAAGGCCCACGCAGGAACATACATGTGCAAGGCGGCCAACAAGTACGGCTCGGACCTGAGAGAGTTTAGAGTTACGGTTTCAGGTAAGCTCTGTGATGGTATTGTGCTGCATATTTCAGAAATTATTCTTTATCATAAGCATAAGATATTTCTGACAAATATAAATAGTTTTATGGTAAAGAGTTAAAACTTTTGGTCCAACACAAACAAATTCTCTTACCTAGACATCGTCTACCAGATACCTTTGACCCAGTAATGACGTCACACTTCAAAGAAGCCTCGTGACAAGCTTCACTTTGTCAGTCTACTGAGGAAGACCAGAGTGAGAGAACTTTATTTTTGGTTGGACCAAACGTTTTACCTCTAAACATGAAAATACCAACACAGATGAACTTTCATGATAGTATAAATAGTCCTATTTCTTACTTTGTATAAAGTTTGCACATGAAGCAATATTTCAAATTTGCTTTGTTGAAGTTTCTCGCATAGCTGTTGTTGGGGTGATTGCCGGCTCGGCAGCAGTAGGGATGCTTCTTGCCATTGCTGCAATCATCACTCTGAGTATCAGGAGGGGGTGGATACGACGTGATAGGAAGGAAAGTAAGTACCTTTTACGAACGTTTCGTTAACAACAAGGTAATATCCAACAACATGAGATATGTAAAAGCAAATGTTAGTCTTAAATTTTGACATGTGACGGAGTGCTGTCTTGCGATACGAAAACCAATACTGCAAGTGCTTTACTGTTTTCCATCAGTCAATATAGGGTCCAAAATATCATCATGCATAAACTATACATATAGACTGTATGTGAGTGAGCATCATCTTTTATTATCTTGGGAATAATTTCTTTAAACCCGTACAGCTGATAAGACATATTTTTATCTATGTCTCTAGAAAAATCTGCAAAATCAGAGTCTCTGGCTTACTGCATAACAAGAGGTTCCGCGAATAAAAAGTGAGTCTATGTTCAACCTAACGACTGTAATTTTTAATAGAAGCCCTGAATTATATGAAAATAAACATTTATATGGCTTATGGCTTACATGTATGTGCTAATGGCATATTGCATCATATCTGTAATAAAAATGTCTAGGTAGAAATGAACGTTCATATAACTGATACCATTCCTAACAGAAAGAAAAACGGATCGCCGACTAAGAGGTCTGCGATAGAGTTGCAGCACTTTGAGAAAACAACGATACACAGCTCCCCGTCTAGACGGGATAGGAACACATATCCGATTGACCTTCTACATTCAAGTAAGTTGGAAGCAAACTTTAAGGTCTAACAATAAGAATTGTTTAACCATAATATTATATTCATACCCTTTCTGCTATGAAATCACACCTGGCAAACTGATATTGAATTCATTTTCATACGTACATATTAAAAGGGCCATAGTTTAATGACATTAGATCCAATGCAATTATCTTCCTAGCTAATGAGAACATCAGGAAACGTCAATTATAGCCTTAAAGATAAGATATGATACCATGTAAGTCAGCTATTTTAGGATGTTGCAATGCTTTGTATTTAGACCTTCATCGGGTTCAGTAAAAACCTTATAACAGTATTGACTGCAATGTCATGCATCTAACGATTTGTTTTCAAACTGCCAGGTGATGTGGAACGGAAAATCGACTATTCCAGCAACGAGAAGGACCAATTTTACGAGGAAGACATTTGTATCCAACAAAGCCCGTGTAGAAGGGCTAGACAACCAAAAAAAGATTTTAGTAACCGCAGATGCTGACGACATTGAAACTTCGGGACAGGATCTATAGGTTTTAACTATATCTTTCTATACACGTTGTCTTTTACTTTCATTTTCAATTCACAGCTCTTTGAAAACCGATAAGAAACCTGTTTAATATAGGAATGATGACAAGATTCGTAATTTTGCAGGTTACTCTGATGCAGTTATTATGTATGAAATCATATTAAAAATGTGTACATCAAATATAGTTTCCTGTTTCTGGAATATAACTTGGTTTAAACTTGGTTTAAACTTAGTTTCAACAGTTGAAGCAAGTCATGAGGGCTGCTGAAGAAGATGGATGTCCTCTGATACCACTGTATACGTATGATACCATTATCTCGACAACTGCCATACTTGAAGGAAAATCTATATGGTACGATGTAAATTCTATAAAGCAAGAACATATTCCAACGTACGATTGTATCAGCTCTATCAAAAAGGAATGGATGTCCATTAAAGAAAGAAAAACTCAATAAAATCAACTCCCAAGTATCGTAAATGTCTCCAGTTGATGTGGCTAAAAATACATATCTTATATTTTAGTTGACACATATATTTTTGTAGTTCTGATTGATGTCGCACGGGGTCGTTCTAAGACCTTCACATGGTGATGCTCAAGAATGCACACCTTAGTTGCACAAAGCCGCCATTGCATGTATATATATGTCGTTTGTAGGATCATAACTATTAAGTCACACAAGTGACTATTCCGTTGGCACAACACATTATATAAGTGTTATAGCGTAAATTAGCCCCCTAGTTCATAGGGACTGTATAAAGATGAAAGAAAGGAATGGCCATCGTCTCATTTGACACACTACAACACTGCATTGCCGTCGAATTACGGCAGGTGACATGCCTGATCCAAGATGACTGCTGTAGATGACTTGGATGAGTTTCAGATGCACACAACTGTATTACCATACTTCATTGTACTTCATTGTCGATCAACTTGACATTTACTACTTATATGTATGGTAGTTTTTGATATGATATAAATAAATATACGAAGTTTCTTTAATTACACACAAAATGTTTAACAAAGGTTTTATAAGTCTTATACACCCCGTTCGACTTAAGTTCTTTTCTTACTCAGCACTGGTGGTATGGATTCAACTGCTTGTCTTTGATGACGCTAACGTATTGGAAATCCAGATCTGTGCCTTAGTTTATGAGAGTATAGAACTACCAAAAAATAGTACGAAGTCACACACTACATATAAATTTCTATAGCACTTCTTCACGGGTGGCCACACACGCAGAAGCAATTGTGACAATATATCTATCGTCGATATAAAGAAACACCAAATACTTCAACAACATGAATCATGTATGCGGCGCAATCACGACTATCAGCTAAGCAAGGCTTAAGTCAGGCGTCACCTTCTAAATACTTATGTATGTTCAAATCAGAGGTCTACTAACAAAGCTATCAATCCTTTGATCATTATCAAGCAAACCCTTTGAAGTATGTTATAAATTACCCTGAGCCTTCGCTTAGCTCGTTACTCATAGTTAACGTAGTTTACCATTTGCGTATTCTAGATAGACAAAACCTACATGTATAATATTTCAGTTTGCACTGCTAATAATAGAACATCCATATAGGATCGATACTCCTTATTTGCTTGAAACTAGCTTGCGGATAACAATATAGACTATGTTACTAAGATATGATTAAACAAATTCCCTAGATAAACAAAAAGCTAATCTCAAGAAAATTAGAAAAAAAATACCGTGGAAAACTAAGCACAAGATTGGCTGAAGGATTAATAACATCACCACTACCTCCTTAGTAATACACAAAAATCAATACACTCTTCAGGTCCAATTTTTTGGTACTGTCAGGATCCAGAGTTTGTTGTTAATGGTTGTCGGCTCCCAGACGGTGCATAGGGAAATAAACCGGAAAGGAAGGGGAATTGGACATTCGGCTGGGAATGAGATATACTTCAAAAAGTACAGTTATTCACCCGTATCACGTCTCTTGTTATCCCCGCCTTGTACGCGTAAGGTGTATTGGCTGTCTGATAAGCTGTGGTATCTTGGATATGCCCTACTGAACAAAGCCTGAAGTAATGAACTTCAAAAGAATCCATACTGCAATAACACTGAACTTCGGTACGTTTGTGAGTTTCTTTAGAAGTGACATACGCTATATGTCTTGCCGGCAATATCGATCCAGTCTGTCGGCTTGTAGAACTTTCGTAGGCGTCAGATAGCATAGTTAGTAGTAAGACTTTCTAAACATGTTGTATATCTTGGACATATGTGGATAGTCCGTAATTGAAGGTTGGTAATGGTGACTATGATTGTATTTAATTTACCCATCTCAATTGCATTCATGTTAATTCATTCATCTTTGAATATGAATTTTTATGTGAATTAATTGTGCACCTCAATAAAACCCATGTACTCTCCACCCACTGGTTAATCCTAAAGTAAACAGAATTAAAAACCTTGCACTCACTTACAGCGTTGATGCTATAATAAGCATGAAAAGAAATCCCATTATTCAAGGTTTTATGCCTTGACGGTTTTAATTTTTAAAATAATGCATGTAGATAGATGTAGATACATTTTGTATGCTTTCGACCCACATGTCATCAACTCTACTAAGCAGTACTAGGAGTGGGTTTTCTTATTTTGTCTTATCTTGTCTTTTTAAGTTAGTTAGATGGAAGTATTTTAGCTACTCAGTCCTTATATTCCTGTGTGTATGTCATATGGGCCAAGTGCCTGAAATAAAAAATAAATAAATTATTTCTTTAAGACCTTGACAGATGAATGAGGCAGCTCTGGCCCAAATCTTTAATCTCACTTTATCAACAAGAAAATACTTTTAAGTGTATAAATCAAGTACTAAGACTTCGAACTTCAAAGCCGGCAGTAGCTTCGATTTATACGGCTTCCAATACTTGTCCTACGGGGTCGCTATTTCAGGGGTGATCTTCGTATTAATCTATCACCGCATTACACAAATTGCAGTCCAACGTGGAATTTCCCGATGGCCTGCTCTCACGGGAGCGGGAAATGACAGATCGTAATCCGGCGGGGGGCGGGATCTACAGGTGATTGACACAAAATCATTCCCCAGCCAGGGTGACATTCCAAGGTGATAATCAAGTTAAATCCGGAGGACTATCCTTTTTCTGATATGTTTAATACCTTTGTGACATTCGGCAACTCATCGGTGCTTTCATTGTCGATATGTCGAGCTCATGAGTGACGCTTTCTGTAGAACCATATTTCATGGTAATGTATGCGTTTTAATGAGATACATATATTTTTTTCAAGAAATAATTCCTGCTAGTGTATCATAAACCGTTTTCCATATATTAAAAGATTGGGAAATAAAAGTAGTAAATAATCATGATAAAATAATCTGATTATCCGATTTTGACGCACCTAACTCGATTACGCCTACTGCATTTCCACGGACCACAGGGTCCAATCAGGACACGTTATTGTGTTTTCACGAACATTGCCGACGTTTTATAACCTGCTTAAAAACGCAAGCCATCATATGCCGAACACATCCAGTCGCCCCGGCATTCTAGCGATTGGACGCGCTTGACTACAGATCCTCGCCCAAAGGAACGTCATAAAATGGCTGACTCTAGCGGTGACATGCTGCTGGTATTCTACCTGACCATGGTGCTGAAAGGTAAGAGGTTATTGCTACTACTGTAACATATTGTGTCGTCTTCACATTTGAACAGAAACTGTCAATATGTAAGCCTTTAATGTCGTCAGGTGTAACGTTGCACATTCTGTGAAAGGTCGAAGAATGGCTGAACATCCTGTTGGTAGCCAATCTTGTCAGTTCTCTTTAGCCTGTATCTATATATCTTGGGATTTCGGATCAATGGTGTACTTAGCAGCACTCTCCGAAGATGCATTAACTTCAAAGTACAGTCAAACATAAGGCCGCATTGTAAATCGTTCATGCACGACTGTGCGTGCGTACTAATACTAAATGCAGTGCGTTATAAATTACTTTGTTATTTTTTATGTGCACTCATGTTGCATTAGAAGGGGCTGCGGGGAAACCAAGATTAAACCTCGCATTTCCTGAGAAATGTTCTCGGCTGGTTTTTCCATGCCTTACAGACGTTACTAGATTCAGAATGAATGTCAAGTGTTCTTGTGACTTTGGGAAAACATAAATCCCACGTAATAGTGTCCCAGTAGATCAAACAAATGTAAGTCCTGGTCATAAGACCGTCCCAGAAGGCGTGCTAATACCAAGACAAATGGTTCAAAATCATTTCCCAGATGATCCATCACACGAGCGCTAATGTTGAAGAAGAGGTGCCGCAAAGTAGGGCGACATCGATCTTTGTCCATATAAAATAGTTTGTCTCCATTAGTGATAATCTCCTGTCTCCCCATTCCGTGCCATGATGGCATACTTAGGAACAAAAGTTGCCGCCGAATGCCACTAATTGTTTGCCATGCTAAGTGCAATAAGACGTCTCGTATTTTTTGGTAGATAGCCCCTTGCTAATGCAGCCCTAACTCTTGGCCCAGAAGCGAGGGATGCTAACGCAACACGTTGAACATTATGGGTCTTTTGGTATTTGTTACAGCTGTATATGGCTCCTTGAAGTAGTTTTTGATTGCTGTGGAATTCAATAAGGCAAGCATTAGAGGCTGTTGATATCTTTACAAATTGCATATGTAGAGTCTCTTGCCACTCCTAATTATCCACACACGCAGCTTAATACATCTGGTATTGATTCTCTGGGTACAGTAGCCAAATATAGCTACTAAATCAAAGGTTCGTTAGAGAGATGTTTTTCATGTATTCGTGATTTCCAAAAGCAAAAAAAAAATGTATATTCTAAAGTTGTAAAATGTATTGTTATCAGTCCAAATGTTTATTGCGAGAAACTTTTTTTTTAAATTGGTGCTTTGGGGGGAACAAAAGAAATCATTTGTTTTACGATGCGATACGTAAAAGTTACACGTTTTACCATGCTTTGAAATTTCAACGACACGA